GAGATGTGCAGGAAAAAAAATCACAATGATTTATCTTTTCATTATGGAAAATATATTGAGTCCGGCTACAGTTCACTTCTGTTTTAAGGAACAGAAGGATTTGGCTCCTCAAACATAAAGAATATCACAAACTCAGAAAATTGAAAAAGCAAGACAGTTTTTGACTTATAATACAAGATTATCTTCCCTGTCTCAGATCACCAATGGTGCACCAATCATCAGGTCCCAGAGGAACTCACCACTGAAGACAATGTATACAATGAAAAAACTCTCCAAGGAGTAGATTTTAATTGTAATGCCAGAGGGCTGTCTACGGCTGAGCGTGAAATTCATTAACGGAAATGCAGATATTCTCTGTTAGGGAGTGCAACAGAAGACAAATGTGCCAGTCTTACGAAAGTTTCTTATCTTTTGAATTAAGTGTTTGATTGGCCTTCAATCTCAGGATGATTTCAGTACATCTACACGAAACTTGCACTTTGTTTTGGTGTGACTAATAAAGTGTGTTGCTGTAGACATTGACATCCTCAGAATGTTAATCCAGAATTCCTTCTGGTGGTGACTTTGAGATTCAGCCTCCATTTTTTCTTCTTGCTGCTATCACTTTATCCTGTGAAACAATGTCTTATTTGTGATAACAATTATTTTTTATTAACATACAAGAAATGAATCCTTCTAAGGTGTTGTGGTTGCCCATCCTGGCCAAACTTATTTATTCGGTTTAACACACTATACAATTAGTAATGTCTTTGTAGGTAAGTTAAGTGGTACATGGCAAACATCTTCAATTTGGAATCATACAGGGAACATTTTTGACATGCAAAGAAGGGCTGAAAATTGATCCTCAGATTCCAATCAGAGAAACATTGACTGCAAGTTGAAAAGGATTATATTCAAATCTCCTAGGTGTGACACATCACTGAAAATAAGTACAAACTAGTTTTCAGTCTGGAATAGATGACAGAAAGGTTGATCTGTCATTCAAATGGAAAAGAACGTGCGAAAATATTAGGCCATTTCTGAATAGGCAAATGTCCTAATTGATGTGTACACTTATAGTCTTTGTTGGATAAGATTTTTTAAGTGCTGGGTTGGGTTTTATTTCTTTTAAAAAGCTTGGAGAGGCATCACTGCAGGCAATACAATCAAGTACCAGTGCTAAAAGTTTGTGGGAAATTTACTTGTAGCAGGAAGAAAAAGAAAGAGAAAGACAATTGTCTTCTATGAAGATGAAAATATAAGCTCAGTTTAAAACAAAATAGTGTAATTAATTGTTTTAATATGTTTATTTAGGGAACAGGTCTGTCCAAATGTGAGGTGAAAAATGGTAGTGTTGGTTACCTTGAGGTACCCTAGCAACAACATCATAGCTGCCACTTACACCAGTGTGTTTGACGAAGCACTGTTCTCGCACTCAATTAAACTCTCATCTTGACAGGAAAAAAATGGATCCACTTTGTTGCACACTGTCAAACATGCTTTGCCTTCCACCCTCCATTATTCTAGCTAAGTAAAAATGTATCAAACCACTTGACTATGCCTGTCACTGAAAAAAAAAAAATATGACAATAAGGTTTTAACAAGAAAATTTATGAATATCCTTCCCAGCTTTCTGCAAATGTCAATAACATTAACAACATGTTTCCAGTTGTTAGAATATTCCAAGAAACTTCTAGGAATGGGTATCACATCCTTCTTTCTTATGTGCTGCCGTTCTTATGTCATGATTTGATTTTTATAAGCAGACAATGATTTTCTTTAGCTGAAGAATGATCATATAATATCAAACCTTTGTCCTTTTTTGTTATGGCAGTGTACATTTTCCTCATAGTGGAAAAATCTGAATGTAAGGCAGAACCCTCCCTTCTCATTATAAAGGCTCACTACATGGCAGCCCAGTAGGCAACGTGATGATAGGAAAGTGGACAGCAAGCCACATCCTGGAGATTCCTTAATATTGCCAAACCCCTTGCAGTGTTATTCAGACTGCCACAGAGCGCAGTTGTCCTTACAAAGTGAAAGGCATGACTCTCCCTTCTGAAGGAAAGCTAAATGGTAAAGGTCTCTTTAATCCTGCTGAGCGAGGCTCCCGTACAGCTGTGTAACTGACTTGCTTTGACATTAATTTAGCTCACTCTTCCTTCTGATGCTTTGAGACTGCAAGGGAAAAGAATGTTTGCCACACTGTTGTCCTCAACATTCTGCCAAGTAACTGTTAGCAGCTAAGAAAAGTGACATCTGTGCATGTGGCAATTGTCTTTAGTCTGAAGCTATTTCTCTTAAATCTAAGCCGGAGGGCTTGAATCACCATTTCCCCTCATCTTGCCAATTGGAGGGTGTTATTTTTACGCACTTTTTTTTTTTTTTTGGAAATAACTACTGAAATCAACAACACTGAAATAATAAATTCTGTTATCGAGTACCATTTACATTTGTATTCTGACTTTTTCCTTTACAATAATTTGAGATCTCTTAGAATTTGAAAAAGAACAATTTAATGTGTCTGATTCAGCTTTCAAAGCTTTCTATTTCCATTAAATAAATTCAATTTTTAACTGCATTTAATTATTCTATATAGTAAATTTATTTGATTTTTTTCCCTGTGTGAAACTAAGTTCTTTAAATGGAGACACTTAGTGTCATTTTAATGCTCTAAGCCATCCCATCTGTCCCCCAGTTGCTCCTCCAGATCCAGGCATGGGTTTCCATAGGTTTTATGTTCATGAAACACATTTACATGTGCTTGAATATGCAAGTATATCTAAAATAACATCATATAACTCATTTAATGCAAAGTTATTGCACTCACATTTTCCCTTTTTTCTCACCCCTACCTGCACAAGCAATATTTGATATTGTCTTTCATAGTCTGGAATAAAGATAGAAATGAAACAAAATATGTTGTTGCCACATTTACTCTTCATAATCTTCCAAAATAGACAGGTTTTCTGATTAAATTATTCTTAGATATAGAAAGAAGAAATAATACTTCTCTAATATCTGGAATTTTGATTTTTGAAAGCCAGGTTTTACTTCCATAACAAATTAGTAACACCTCAAAAAATATTAATAAGGAAGTTGATTTGTTAACAGAGACAAAAGATGGTCAGATCCTCAAACTACAGAAATTAGTATAGCACCATAAAAGTTGTTATGTCTGTGCAAATTTGAAAGAACTGAGAATCTGACTTTCATATATAATATAGGAAATTTTTCTGTCAGAAACTTATGTAGAAGAATATGAAGAACTCTAATTTGTATATACAAATAGGTAAGACATGGACAGTATTTTGAACTAAAGAATATATCTTTTCACTTTGAGTTTATCAATATTTCAATGCTAAATTTAGCATACATATCTATACATGTAATAATTAAGCTGATTTTTCACTTTACAAATTGGAATTAGAAAAAAAAACCCTCATGCATAGTCAGTTTACAAAAGATTTGCTTGGAGGAAGATAAATGCAGGTCAGAAATTGTGTTTTGGCACCACATCAGTCATGCACAGAAATTGAATGACCTTACTGAACTCAGGATAAGATGCTTCTGTCCACATGGCAAGAGTGAGAATCATTGTGTTTAATTCCCAAGTAGTTTTAAATTTGTGCATGCAGAAGTTGCTGCCTTCTTTAAAAAGTGACCTTTAAGAAAAAGACATTTAAAAAACTCTTTATTTCTTTTTCATTAATAGAGAGCAGTTCCTTGATTAGCTTGAAAATTAGCCAGGAATAAGCTTTTTCTTTTCTTGTGAGTTGGAAAGAAAAAAATACAAAATTATACAGAATAAATAGTAAATATAAATCTAGCGAGAATTCATTGCAAAAATAAACCTGCAGTGTTTTATGTGTTTGTAACCTATTTTTCCCACAACACTTTATTTTCTTCTAATTTCAGAAAATATATTTTTGTACAAATAGCTAAATACTATTATTCTTCCGCATGTGTGTATTGTTGCAGTTATTCTGTCTGAGTGTTGCTTTTGGTTAGGGTGGAGAAGGACCTGTATATGCACTTGGAAATTCCTAGCCACAGCAAACTCATTTCCTTCAAGAATATTTAAAGCCAGCACAGAAGTTATTTATATACATATGTATATATATATATTTATAAAAAACCCCAAACTTATTAAACACAGTAACATATTTACAGCTGATTCTCAGTAGCTTTTCAAATTACCCAGGATTATGAGTTGAAACACCAGTGATGCACAATATCTTATAGCAGCAGCTCAAGAAAAGATTGTCCAAACTTAGGTAAAGCTATCAGATAGGGAAAGTAGCAAAAGGCTTGCAGTTTTCTTTGTTGAAGATGTTGGGTAAACATAGATGCATATTTTTCCTTCCACATACAGATACAGAATTCAAATAAAGTTCTGTGTAGAATACTTAAATATTTGCAGGCTGTGGGTGAATACACAAAAATATTTTATCTGTTTTCCTTTTTGACATTTAGCATGACAACTTTTCAATTCCTTTCATATTTATTATAAAGGTATGTAAGGTGTAGTTGTAGACAGTGGTCATGTATGCAGTGCATGTACTAACCTAACATATACACTCTAAGGTTATAAATACAAACACAGGTGTTGGAATTTTCTTTTTTTTTTTTGGTCTTTTTGTTGTTTTAAAGGAATGTAATTAAATGGAGGGAAAAAAGAAGGAGTAAAGGAAATGAACTTTTTTTCCATAGGTTGGGAAACAGAGAAGTGAATGGAGAGTGGCATATACACCTTTTCGAAATGATGAGGAATAGTGCAATAAGCAATTTTCCTCACACAGTTCAATCATACTAAATTCTTGCTTAACTTGGGGTTTGACATATTGCCTGCTCACAACCCCATGGCTTCCCACAGTGATCCCTGAGTTTTTCTTTGCTAGGATTACTGCTGTGCTTAAGTTCTGACTGTTGACATGTTTTTGTAAGGCACTTTTATTTACAATGATTCCACCTTAAAGTAAAATCAAAGAAACTCGGCCCCAGCCCCATGTATTATCACTTCACGTCTGCTGCTCCAGGACTTCCAGATAGTCAGGCTCAGCATGTAAATTAGCCTTGAGCTCAAAATACTCATTTTTAGTTTGTTCTAGAAAAACCTTTCTTGGCCTGGAGTACATGAGTGTCTCCATCAGCTTCAACTCTTCATGTGTTCCAGGATAACGAACTTCCATGTCAGGCTGGAGTTGGACTATATTTTTTCTTAGATATTCTGTGATCCCTAGTTGCTGCAGCTCTCTCTCTTTTTCAAGAATGTTTCTATACAAGCAGCTAGCATCCTGAAAAGACAGAAATTCAGCAGATTGGTCTGTAGCCTTGTATTTGACATTTGGACCTGTAAGTGGTGAACTGTTCTCTCTTTCCAGGAGACTTCTGCGAAGGTATTTGGAATCATTAGCTTCCTTCTCACTTCCTTCCTCCTGCTGCTGCTCGGTGTGCTTGGGGCTGAAGGATGGGCTGTGGTACACCTGAACCATGGGGGTAACTATTCTCTGCTCATAGAGAGTGGCAGCTGGGCGCTCCGTGGTGTGGTGTGTTGTCTTATGCCCATACATGCTGTACTGAAGGTGAACAGGGCTGCTGTCCCTCACTTGCTCATCCACTTGCTTCTTTTTGCATCTCCTGCGCCGGTGCAGAACAAGAACAACTATTCCTGCTGCACAAAACACAATAGTTATAAACACAATGAGCAGTCCTAATATTAGAACAGAAAGTGGGACAGCATCTGTAAGAGAACGCAGGATGGTGTCTGCGGTGTTGGCAGTAGGAGAAGAAGTTGTCACAACTACAAAACTGGCATGGGTCGGTAGGGCAGGGCTGTTTATTAAACCTGGACACAAGACTTCACTCTTTAGAGATTTCAATTCTTTTTTTGCTAAGTGCCCGGGAGATTTACAAAAAATATCACCCATCATGGTATTCTTACTCAATTTTTGTATCCATTTTTGCAGTCCAACTGAATCACATGTACAGTCCCAAGGGTTGTCTTCAAGTTCAATTTGTACCAGCATATCCAGTTCATCCAAAACATTGCTCACAGGCAAATGAGCAAATTGGTTTGTTTTCAGATTTAGTCTGGTGAGGGGAACACCTGAAAAGATATGGGGTGGCAAAGCCTGCAAAAGGTTGTTATTTAGGTAGAGAACTTTCAGTTTTGGCATTACATTAAATGTCCCTGGCAAAACTTCTTTGATGGCATTATATTCAAGGTACAAGTACTCAAGGTGCTGAAGGCCAAGGAAGAGATTTTGACTTAGCTTTGTAAGATGATTGCCATTGAGATATAGTTTCTGTAGTCTGGTCAGATTCATAAAGGAACCTTCCTCAAGGATCTCAATGCGATTGTTCCCCAGGTGAAGCATTTCCAGGCTGGCATAGTCCACAAGATCTGATTTCAATAACGTCTGAATAATATTTCCAGCTAGGATAAGCTTTTTAGGATTTGGAGGAGGAGGTCCTAAATCAGACAAGCTTTCAATATTTCGCTCCTGGCAGTGCATAAGAACTCCTGAGAGCATATGGCTGGTGCAGTGACAAGGGACAGGACAAGAGATTCCTGGAAATGTAGTAGGCTTGGAAGTATGAAGCACTAAACTTGGTTCTTTAGTAGGAGCTTTCAGGAGAGGAATCACCTTAGTTGATAGATGATTATCATTGATAGAGGTGGTTACAACCAAGGGCAGTGACCCTGAAGGATCTTCAAGTTCATTAACAGGATGGGTGGGACAAAGAGATTCTTTTTTCAGACGGCTTAATATGCTGCCTTTGATAACTGAAGGGCTATTGCATACAACATCACCTATTATGGACTGAGGAGGCATGTTTTCTAGCCATATCTTCAGCTGCAACAAATCACAGTTGCAGGCCCATTTATTGTCTTCCAACTGAAGGTCTAGTATTCTTCCAATGTGTTCCAAAAAGCCAACATAGGGCAGTGTCTGTAACTGGTTTCCACGCAGATCTAAATGGGTCAATGGCACAAAACGAAATATGTTTGGAGGAAGATACTCAATGGCATTATCATTCAAAATAAGCACTTTAAGCCTGTTGAGCTTGCTAAAGGCACTTGCTTCAATCACTGTGATGAAATTGTTGTCTGCTTGAAGAAACTCCAAATTTTCCAATCCATTAAACGTATCTTCTTTAAGTGTTTCCAAAGAATTGTGATTGATATGAAGTTGCTTAAGAAGGCTGAGACCATTGAAAGCCCCAGGCTCAATATCTGCTATATTGTTAAAACCAAGATGCAGAGAAATAGCATTAACAAGGCCAGCAAAATCATTCACATGTAACATACTCAGACCATTGTTTAACAGATTAAGATGGAAAGGCCGTGATGGTGGGACGTTTATTTCTGATATCATCTTGATGTCTCTTTTGTCACAGTTGATAATCATGGTGTCATCCTTTTCTTCACAGGAACACAGACTCTGACAAGATCCTCTGACTGAAGAAAAAGAAGGCTGTGATTGGAAAGGATCGGATGCAACCACAATTGAGCATAGAACAAAAATCCAAAGCTTCATCTTGTCCAGCAGATTCTATTAAAAAAAAAAAAAGGAAATAAGTAATAGAGTCATGATTTCACAAGGTTTGGGTTGTTTGTTTGGGGGGGTTTTGTGGCTTTGTTTGCTGGAGTTGTTTTGGTTTTTTTTTTGTTGTTTTTTTTTTTTTTTCTTTTTGTTTTTCTTTTCCCTGGCATAACAGAAAGAAAAAAAACATTCCTAATCTTCTTCACTGAGCTACTTCTCCTTCCAAATGCTGTCATATCATGCAAAACAATTGAATTATTTTCTAATTAGAGAATATAAATTTAGTTTGATGTACTGAATGAATAAACAGTCATAAGGGGAAATCTTCAGTACTTTCATGATGATAGCCAAAGTAGGATGCAATCAGGAGTGTGTTGGTTTTATTCATATACTGTACAGACTGCCAGTGGAAAACAGTAATAATTTACTGTTCCAAGAAACTTATATCAAAGCTAATACAATATTTTGAACCATTGCTTTCTGTCACTATATAGCACTGCAAATTTTAAGAATACCTTGCTAAGATTAACTTAGTGTTACCCAGCTGCTGAAGAGAAATAAGATTTGGTTTGGATCAGTAATGTGTTGTGAGCAAAAGCCCATTCTTGCAGGATACAGGGAATCTCTCTACAGTTCTGCATTATGTATGGAAATCAAAGGGTATTTCGTCTGAAATCCTTGTACCCACAAACTGAAAAGGACATGGACAAAATAATCATCTCTCTTTGCTTAAATTTTAATGCATATGTTGTAGTCTGTGGGTGAAAGTGGGGCCACAGCACAAAGTAGTGTAGCATTTGCATGTAATGTACATACAAAAAAATTTGCGTACACAACCTTAAAAAAGAGAACTGAGAATGCAGTGTGGGCCAGAAAAAACAAGCAAGCAAGGGCAAACTTTTTGAGATTAATATTAGACTCCTCCCAATGATAATAATCATCAATTTCCACAGTGAAATGTATATGGACCTGACTGTCCTTTGCAAATTAAAAATTATCACCACTATCAACTATATGTTATGCAATATAATTATCACCTTTCCATCTGATCTTAGACTTTGAAACACTTGATAAATGCATCATTACAATACAGCTATGGAGTTGCAAGTAAAATTTAGATGTTTAAATCAGTCATTTATTATTGGCTTGAATTAAGATGTCCTATAGGCTATTAGTAGATTCTCTGTTTCTTTCTGTCAAGGCTGCCTAATTAGCAAGACCAATGGTAACTCTTGATACATAAGATAGAGGGAAATCACTGTTTATAATCTTTAGTTAAGTATTTCCACATTTCAAAAAAAGTAAATAATTAACCAAAAAATCCCCTAAAATGCAATGGATTATTTAAAACCAGTAAGGTTTATGGGGTGTGCTATTTATTTGAGTACTGAACTAAGCAAGACCCTTAAGTAATTCATCTAATAAAGGTCAGAATCTTTCAAACTAGGCTATTGAAAGATGAAGTACAGAATATCACTACACAACCAACAGTGTCAGTTTCTGAAAGATTAGAATGTTTTACAAGGATCAATTCAACTACATGCATGAACATTTTTATAGTGTGGTCATATGATTTGGCATCTCATGAATGCATATTTTGAATATCATGCACCTTGGTTGCTAGAAACACTATTTCTCAAGGCTACCCTTAAAACAGATTGCAAAGCTTTACACATGCAAGCACTTAAATGCTGTGGCATGAGTATTACACACACACGCACAAAGAACAACAGCAAGTGTGTCCACATGAATTTTGTTTTTCTCCCTGAGTAGCTTCTGATAAGTGAGAGTAGAAATACGAGTTTATAAGTAGTAAGTGCAATTCACAGTGTGAGAAAAATTTTCCTTAAAAATATGAGCTTTTATCTTTGTTTTAGTAGTTGCAATATAATTTTGTTGCCTCATATAACTCTCCTTGAACTGCAGCTGCCCATGTTTAATATATATGTCTTTAAGTCTGTTTTCCTAAGAAGTATTTGATAAGACACCTCATGTCAAGATGTTATTTTAAACTATGCAGAATAATTCCAGGATCATATTATGCTAGAGACTTATTCTTGCTTTACATGCATCACTATCCTTTCCAGTGACCCAAGGTAAAAAATACAAGCTCTTGACACAGATGCCGGCTTCAAATCTACACTATGACTAATTCAACTTTATTTCTGTACACTTTTTCTCATTAGAAATTCCAGTGTCAATCCGCATCAAATTCAAACAACACTTATAAAGTCCTTGAGCAAAATTAAACTAAGAAAGAAGTCTTTAAGGCATGTTGCATTCTATTGCATATTGAGAAATTAGGTTACTAAAATGAAAGCCTTCCTCTCAGAGATGAAAGTAACAACATTTGTAACCAATTGGAAAACATTCACATTTTAATCATTGTCATACTTCTGTAAGCAGCACTGCCAGAACTCTCTCACACACATATATATACCCACACAATAAAAATTAATAGGAGAGTTTTATTCTTTTTCCTTTCTCCATTTTTTTTCTAAACACTCAGAAACATGTAATGAAGTTCTCAGTGGGCTACTATTGTAAAATAAAAACTGCCCTCTTGTAACAGATGACTAACATTTAACTGAAAGAATTCACAGTACAACAAAATGTAATTTGAAAGACTTTTCATGTGGTGAGGTTTTTCAGCAAATTCCACATGGTAACTTGAGGTTTTTTTATCTGCTTTCATGAAAGTCACTGCTGACTGCATACTGTAACTAAACTCTGTAGGAATTCTAAAAGACTAAAAAATGTCGCAGTTTTTTCTATGAGGCAAAGTTGAATACTTCCAGAAGTAGTCACCTTACAGCAAAGGCATCTCATGCTTGCTAAGTAATAATTGATTTGGTTTTAAAACATTGAAATAACTTGTTTCATTATGCTTGAGGGTTTATTTGTTTGATTTTCATTAATTTAGCTATATATTAAAAAAAAAACAACTATGTTGATGATTTTCAAACCCCCAAGCTAAGAATTAGTAATTTCTAAAAGCCTTTGGGATTTTTTATTAAATTCTTAAGGGAATTACATTCAGATGATGCATTTAAGATCATTTTTGCGCTTGAAATAAAACCAAACACCCATTCCTCTCCCTTAAGAGTTCAAGAACCACATTCCCTTACTGCACATATTCTACACAGTAATCAGTTTGAATAAATGTCCCAACAAACTGTTTAAAATACAGTATAAACTGCCATCATTTAACATAAAAGTTATGCAGAAAAATAAATGCAACTTTTACTGAGAAGTGAAATTCTCATGTGCTTAGCTAATTAGCTAACCGGAATCTTTCTTACCTGTACAGCAGCAACACTCCCTGGTACACTCAGTAATGCACAGTTGGAGCAGCTGTTTCCATGCACTGTAATTTTTCCCTCTGAAAAACGCACACTTTCTTCTGAGTTTCCCTTTGCTGCAAGCTCCGGTAATGCTACAGCTCCATAAAGTTAAAATCCTTGTTCAGAAGACAAAGTACAAAGCATTCGATTGAAAAAATCTTCCAGGCAGCCGTGCACGTCAGACCATCCTGTAAGCAGTTGTCCTTTTTCCTCAATTAAAATTCACAGCATACTTCACAGCTAGGCTGACTTTTCTGCATATAGTTAACTGTTTGCAAGCATTTGGATGCAGTAAACAAACAAGATGCTCAGCAGAGCTTGACTTGATCACTTGGTTTGTCAGATTTTTAGATGCAAGCTGCTCCTGTGTTCTCTCTGTTCTTTCTAGTCTTTCTTGTTAGCTCAGTTTGTTATTAGTCAGATTGCCAGGGGCTGGGAGGTAGGCGTAAATAAAGAGACTTCTTGGCTTTTGACTCAGCCTTTAAGCCCTTCCCCACCAGTGAGCTTTAATCTGCCAATGTCATTTAATACAAGATACAGCTCCACCTTGAGACAGATCAGCTCCTCCTCCTGCAATTTCTCTCACCTCTTTTTCCCCTTATCTAAGGGAGCCTCAGAAAGTAAAATTCAGCTAAATATCTTCTAGATTGCTTAAGGGCTGTTAATACCCAATTTTGCAAAAAACCAGTAAACATCCACTGCAGCTCTTGCAGTTTGTTCTCTTGGGCAGTCCTTGCATTTAGTTTGTATCTGCAAATGCTTGCTTTAGAAACCTGAAAGCATTCCAGCCCAAATACACTCCACAAATCACACCACAAGGGAAACTTTGTCCTCTGGAAAATATGTCTATCACGTTGAAGTGCAGGATTATTCAAATATATAAATGGGACTGTAAAGCTGTCAATCCAGTCCACTCAGTGTGAAGGGGGTAGGGGTGAGTATGCACAGTTGTACATACTTTATTATGGAAAAATAAAATTATGGAATATTAGTGCTTGTGCTTGCACAATGACTGCCGTCAGCCCTTTTTAAAACTGCCCATCCTGCTCTGTAGGAAGAAGACTGGGTTGATTGTAATTGTCTGTTTTACAGATGCTAGCACAGCATTGATATCTGTCCATGTGAGATTGCATTTTATTTCCATGAAACACTGCTTAGATAAAAAACAGTCTGGTTTGGGGGAGGGCATTTTTAAAGGCACGTATCTTGCTTAAGGTATTATTTTCTTTGTGCTCATAAACAAATAATTAGCAGATACAGTACAGCCACTGGAAAATGCTTGTTCCATGCAAGGAGGGCGTTCCTTATCCCTCCTGCACTGCATGGGATGGTTTTATAAGCAGCACATGCTACTTCCTTGTTCATCCCACTGCCACAGAGGCACAAAGCCTTTTGTGAGCAACAATAGATGTGGTGCTCCAGCATATTTGCCCTCTACAGCACAGCATTTCTAGTTTGTTTTTCCGTGCCTTGGATTATTATACAGACTGTTTACTGCAGCCTCCAGCCAGTCAGATTCCAGTAATTTCTTTTGCACTGATGGATCTCTAGGTGGCCTCATTGACCTCAAAAAGGCTATTGCAATTTACTGTTCCATGTGCTGAAGGCTATCAAGATCTTTTCCTATATTTTTGCTTACACACATATATGTAAACTTTTATGTATGAATTTATAAGAGTTATATCTCTCTATATTTAAATATTTTTTAAAATACAATTTGAAAAAAAAATTAAAAAAATAAGAGGAAATATTCCTGAGGAATTGTAACAATTTGGTTTCAACACATCACTTTTTTTTGCAATTTGCTAGTTTTAATGAACCTTGTCACTCAATCTCAATTTGCAGGCATTTTACTGTTAAGGCTCAAAGGTTCTCAGTTGTTTGTGACCAGCTAAATAACATTTTTCAAGTGTTAACACTTGTAGTTGGCTGTTTGAGATAGAGAATATCTCTAAATATAGATATTCACATTAAAAATGAAAACAAGATCATTATTTGCTTTTGAGTTGACAGCCACAAGAGTAAAACATGATAATAAAAATATTTCCAGAAATCAATTGCAAAAAATAAGACAGTTTCCTAATCTAAGCATACAGAATTAAAAACGACTGAGAATCTTTATCAATAGTATTTGTGATACAAAACCTGCATATTTATCAAGTTTATAAAAATGACTAATGTTTGTTTTTTCTACCATAATTTTATGAATCATTAGGCAGATTATTATAAAGAATGTGATTCTGCAAGTGCATCTGCATGTCAGTTGAACTGATATAGGGTTTTTACCCTGTACTTCAAGTCTTAATCAATTGTTCCAACAATTTTAAATTTTGTGAACTTTGGATATATAAAATCTAAAACTGTCAGACTTACATTTACTGCAGCCATATTATTTGCAGATTAGTCTTCAAAATGTTAATCTTCATGGTGACTTGTTAATTTGTAACTTCATTGTTTAAAGATAACAGGAGGAATAAGAATTTGCATTTGCTATTTCAGTCGAGAGAAAATTTTTTTTTCCCCATCATTCAGAACTCATCGTCACTTCTCAGAATGCACACAAGGAGCCATTGATAGCACACAAGACGTAGGAGGTAAATAATATATCCCTGTTTGCAAGAAGTTCCAAGTCTGTATCAACAACTCTTCACCTATATTTCTTGCAACATGAACCCTTTGAACTCTGTAAGAGTACAGGTCTGACAGCTTAATATATGCCATTGAAAGGAAACATTTTCCTGGAACCACTAAGTAGCATCTGACTATTCACACGTGAGGAACTCAAAACTCATGCATATATTATAAATTAAAATTGTATATAGAAGAACTGTCACCAAGGCTAAGAGTTAACTAAGAACATGGCATATGAACATACACACAGAACAACACCAAAAAACCCCATAATGTAATGTACTATAATGATGGAAGCTAACAGTGCCTAGTATATTATTTAATTCAGACACAGATCACCTATTTCCCTCACAAAACTAATATCCCTTTTTACATATTGGGATAGGTCTTACTCAAAACCTTCTGCTCTGAACACACTGTTTGTGTGGCTTTTTTCAGTCTTGAACACATTGCAATTGTGTAAAGAAAAGTAAGGATTCCCCTCTACAAGTGATACACTGGCCTAGTGGCTACTCTCTAAGCATTTCGTTTCATCTTTATATGACCCTTATTGAGAAGCAAATCTTTGAAAAGTCTGCTGAAAAAGATCTTCAAATTGTAAGGAAACAGGTAAAAGAAATAAATTTATATTATCCTTATGCATTTTCTAACTAAATTAATTTAGACCCATATTTTTATACTTAATATATACGTACACAAATCATGTGTACAGAATGGTTTATTTTGGAAGGAACCTTAAAGGTCATCTAGAGAATCACCTCCCTCATCCTGCTGGCCAAACATCTTATGCAGCTGAGGATGTGGTCGTCTTTCTAGGCTGCACCTGCATATATGTAACATTGCATGCATTGTATTTACCATCAGGCAAAAATCACATTTTCTGAAAAAAAAATATTCAAAGAAAGGTACATTGAAGTTAATATTCTTTCTATTTCATTTTTCAATTTAAAAATTCATATGGTACTTTAAATGTTGTGCTTGTGTGAAAATGCATTTTATACTGCTATACTTAAGAGCATGATTCCTTACCAAATACTGGATTCTTATTCATTTATTAAAATATAATGCAATGGAAACAGATGAAACCAAGGTATTTTCCCTTGCATACTTCTTTAGTAATTCTGTTTATTTGTGTAAGTCAGATCTCTGAAAATGTGTAAACATTTCTGAAATTGTGGTTTCCTTCTTCAGTATCTATGCAATAGGTCTTGAATCTTCTTTATTTCTTTTTTGTTTGGGGTTATTTTTGTCGTTTGTTTGTTTAACCACTTGACAGAGTACTTCCAGTTCTTCATAATGTAAGAAGAGTTGATTATCAAAGTTAAAATCTGCTATCCAATTCTGAGATTGTTCATCTTGTTCATAAATTTTGGTATTGGAGTGAGAAATATTACTGGATCTGAATCAACTTCTTGGAACAGACAGATTCTCCTTTCCTTTCCTCCTGAATTTGGCAATATTTGAGTGTCAATTTAAAAAAAATGCCTAGAGGCAACTGGTCTGTGGAAAACAAAAGTCACCTGAGTACTTGCAATCTTCAGTTATGATTAATCAGTTGGATATTTTTCAAAGTGTATTTTGCTTGCCAGTGACCCAAGAACATACACACAAAAAATTGAGTCATGCTTTGGCATTGGGTAGTGTGTTAATAGAACAAAAACATCTCTACAAATCAATTTTTTCTTAATAATTTCTGAAACCCCAGAAGCCGTGTTGTCCATTGACCTTAATTACTGTAGGTTTAGACTGAAGTGATCTTCTCCACTACCACATAGCCATTCAAAACTTTATTTGAAGCTGAATGGGATAAAGTAACCTTTTGTCCATGTACAAGAGAAAAGCCAGTGTGAAACCAATTGAATTTGCCTAGACTTCTATGGACCTTGACTTCTTTTCTGATTACTTTGGGCTTCCAGTCAGTACCCATTTAAAAATACTTGTAAGTTTATATATGTCACTGATCTTTTACTTATTTTTTTTTAAACAATGTGTTACAGTCAGCCAATTAATTACCCTCTGCACCTCTGATCAGTCAGCTTCAAATTATAGTTACAAATATTCCAATTGAAGTATAGTCAGATTTCCTGACTTTCAGGCCTGAGAGCAGATGACTGCCTAGCTGTCATAAAACTTAAAAATAATATCACTTCAGTATCAATAGCTGATGAAGCCCAAAGATAAAAGGATTGTGTAAATATTTTGAAATTGCTAATGGAATACATTTTTTTCTTCTGTACTGCAAGAGAAGTAGAAATAACCTGGGTGTGGAGTAATCAATAATCAGTACAGAGGACATGATATGATTTGCATGTGTTTACATTTATTTGTTTGGTGTTACAAAACTCCTTTTT